GGCCTCTACCCAGGAGAAAAAAAGCAAAGTTGGAGAAAATATTCAGCTGGTGCCCGAATCAGAGGGGCTCCGTTATTGATCCCAGGGCCCCTTCGTGTTATTTTTGTTGGAGACAAATCCATGGGTTTGGAAGTGTTATAGCATTTGAGGTAGGGTCTGTGTAAGTGATGGATTCATGTATTAGATGAATTAGATTTCACAGCGTGAAGGTTTCAGCGGAGCTATAATATTATGAGCTGCTTGGTTATTGATAAAAATTACATTAAATGTAGCTGAGGCATTAAAGCTCCAGACTAGGGTAGTACTCCCTCTAAAATGTCCTTAGGGCCCTAATAAATTTTAGCAGGTTTAATTATTTTAGTAGTCTGAAAGTTGTCACCACAATTAAGCCAAACTTAAGCAATATTCAATATTTTTAAATTACAGCGCTGATAAAACCTCTGTACCACATTTTCTTTCACATTCGATGCTACGGAAGGTGACGTACAGGCGCTCGCGTGCGTTAGGACAAACTCGGTATGAAATTCTTTATTTCGGGCATGGAAAAAGCTAGGGTTATTTCATACCCTCCTCTTCTTGCTTGATGGCGAGCGGCTCAGCCGCGCATCCCTGCGCCTGTGAACGGGTCCTGCACCGACCCAGGGATCATCCGAGACCCCGTGCGGCGTACCAGCTCACACCACCTGAAAATAAAGTCCTTTTTTTTTCTCCCCATGGGCACGCCTTCCATCTTCTGGCACAATTTAGCAGCAGAAGTCCTCAGCTTACCTCCCTGACAACATTCCCCCGTAAACGGATCCCCCCGGTCTTTGCACCCTCTGAGCGGCAGCGGGGAACTGGCTCAGAAAGAGGTTTGGGCCCCTGCCCGTAGCAAGATTTATAGCCTTACCATCAAAATATGCGGATTTACTGCAGATATTTTTAAAGAATTGCAAATTAACCTTGGAGATTTTTTACAGTGTATTATTATGGCTTGTTATGGCTTTGTCACTCAAGAAAATCTGCCTGCAGTAACTTGTGCACGCGGATTGTAAAGACGGAGAAATCCCAAAACAGAAAAACGCTTGCAAAAAACAACTTCTTTAAAGAAGTCATAAACCAAGCGTGGGATGGCATGGTGTAGAGTAAAGATTTTATTGGTACTCGCTGGAGTTGTCATGGATGCATAATTCACTTGTGGCATTGCCAACTCCAAATAAAGCAGCTATTATAAGCATTTTTTATTAAACCTTGATTAACAATAAGCACCTATGTGTATTCCCATGTAATGTGCTAGCCTGTGGGCTGAGACTGAGATTTTGAATTTCAGCCATCGAAATTACCCAACAAAACCAAAAGAATCCCCCCAAAAAACAATTTACAAAGCTCTGGCCAGTAGCTGCCCAGCTCCCTTGGGGTCTGGGTGTCCCAGGCCCAGATACCAGCACAGCTTGAACTGTGCTGACATAACTATTACATGGGATTGAAATAAGTCAGTGTAAAGTACGTAATTTGTCTGTCTGTCTATATATATAAAAATCATACTTTTTGCCTTAAAATATCCAAATTTGTTAAAACCGCACTTTTTAGTGAGTTACTGTTTTCAGAGCTATATCATTGCGATCAAATTGCTATGCAGTTACCAAAACACATACGGCGTGATTAGAGATGATGTACTGCATTTTTTATGGTGTGTACTTCAACTATGATAATCACCTGTAATAAAAAATTTTAAAAAACGTGTTAATGTACTTCTCTGCGTTATCAGTCTACTATGTAACCTCTTGCATTGATTTTTCAGAATCCGTGACATTTGGCTATAAATGATACAAAGTAGAAGGCATGAGGAAAAAAGTTCTTAAATTGGTTAGGTGTGAATTAAATCGCTCCTGTTGTAGGTTTTAAAAATTCAGAACCCATTTTGGATTGACTTGCTGTTAAATAATAAATAGCGCCTTGTTCTTATATAGAATTTTTCAGCAGTGCACGTAGAGGTGCTATAGCGAGAGGAGATCTGCCAAGGGAGCTGGGGCTCGGGAAGCTCGCTCCTGGAAGCGCTCTTCCCAGTGATCTGGGGTTTTTCCCAGGAATACGGCCTCTTCTCGTCCTGGGATGATGCTCGATAGTCGTCCTGTACCTCTGTGCTATCCTCGTGTGCGTTTGGGGTCTGCGAGGCTTCGTCACCCGCCCGGGCGCTGAGGTCTCGGCTGCTGGAGGGGGCTGGTGCGGGGCAGGAGAATCTGCTTCTTGCAGAGAAGTTTTTATATGTGGGATTTAATATAGCGCGTTTACCCTTTTAAGACTTTACATCATTTTTATGTATGAAAATTTCTCCCAACACTTATTTTTCCCTAAGAACTGGTTGGTGTTGAGAGCCTGTGGCCATTACGGAGCCATCCGTGATCGGCACCGTTTCGGCACGGTGGCGGCCCAGCCAGGAGCATGTCCCCGATGCCGCAGCTGCCCCGTCCTCCTCGGGCACGGCCGGGGCTCCGCCAGCGTCCTCTTGAACGCGGATGCTCAGTCCACGTCCCCGCCAGTCTGGCGGCAGATGACTCCCGCTTTCGCTGTGGGTTTACGGGCGTCTTCCCCCACCACTGCTCCCCTTTGAAGGGTTCCTTATTTTTGTGTGTTTTGCAGATCCCAATTATAATACCGTGCCACAGGGTGATTCGCAGCAGTGGGCAGACCGGCAACTACGGCGGAGGAAACCTTATGAAAGAGTGGCTTTTGTCGCACGAGAAGCTCCAGAAAGAGAAGTTAGCATATTGATGCAGCTCAGCCACGGCTGCTAACCAGCCAAGACATACAACCGCGGCTACTTGGCTTATAACAAGCTCTCAGAGCACCCAGCAGAATTCAGAAAAATGGTAAATATTTGAGTGACATATAAATATAATGCAACATCCGAAGTGAAATGTGTGGTGGCACCACTATATTAAAAAAGCGGGATGCGTCCTGAGGGATGCAGCTCGTCTGCCCTTTCTTGTTTTTACATTTTACAGCAGAATGAGTACAGCGGTCCAGGCCTGTTGTGCGTGGATTTTGTTCCCATCTCCGGTCCTGTTTTGTTCTATTTTTAATGTCCATTAAAGCACGGGTAAGGGAGCAGGGGGGGACGTGGCAAATGTGAGGTGCGAGCCTTCCCCTGCGGAAGCGCCGGGCTCGTCGAGGGGGCAGCCGGCGAGCCCGAGCCTGCGCCTGGGCTGGCTCCTGCCCGGCCGGGGCCGCGCGGCCCTGCCAGCCCCTGCCCAGGGCTCCCCTCGCCGCCGCGCAGCCCGAAAGGGCGTTTTACAGAAACGGGGGTCAACGGAGCCCGCAGAGATGCATTCAAAAGCAAGCGGCTATTGAATTGCTTGTTCCCGGTTTTTCTTTCCAGATTGCGAGAGATGGGGATAAAAATTTTTGCTTTTGTGAACGGCGCAAACAGCAGGTGGAAGCGACGCTGCCGACAGATTGTATGAAAAGTATATTTTAAATAAGCAGTTTGATTAGCACAACTCGGGCAAAATACTGAAAAGCTCATCATAGTTGTGTCTGCAGCAGCAGCACGTCTCCTTTTATTTGATTTTTTTTCCTTTAGATTTTTGCATTTCTCTGTTGTGCCAAGCTTTATTTCCCATAGCCTCTCTGTAGAAGGGATTCAAGTATTCAAGAGATACTAAAGCAAAATTTTGAGGTGGTTTAAGCAGGGTTCTCTGCAAGTACGAGCCACCAGAAGCTGAAATTTTCAGTGTGGGAATCGTAAATTCTAACATGGAAATACCGATTTTTTTTTTTATGTGTTTTATCATATTTTCAATAGATGTCTCTTTAGAAAGGCCATTGCTAACCAAAAAATTATTGTGTTACGATGCGTTAGTTAATGTAGTATTATTGATATCTCTGAATTACTTCAATAAAAAAACTGCTTTGCATGTACAAGTGTCTTTGTGTATGTTTATAAATAAAACACAGTATGTGATATATGGAGAAAATAAACTATACCCAACTGTACAATATAAAGCTGTATTTTTATCAAGGGTTTCTGGTGGCAATATAAACCACGAAAGCAAAGCTCAAGTGGTTTGTACGTGTCACCAGAACCCCGAGATAAAAATATAGCCTTATAATATGTACAGTTTGGGTGTATTTTATTTATTTTTTTTTAATAATACATGCTACCGACCGAAGAACACGGTAGCAAGTGTAAACTTTAACCTTTCTCACATTTACATCCCTTGCTCTTTTTCTTGAGGTGTTTGCTTTTTTTTTTTTTTTCTTTTTTTAGGGATGTATCTTTATTTTTTTTTTTATTGCAGGGAGGGTGACGGCGAGCGCCGGCTTTCCAGGCGGGAGCAGCTTTCCCAGGCAAGCACCCGGCTTTTGAGCGAAATCGTGTTCTGGGTGGGGGTTTTTGCGG